GTACTGAAAGTTTTAGCGGAAACAACTGCGTGGCAAAATATATATACATAAATCACAAATATCCTGAACTGCCCGCCAGCTCACTCCTCGTCCCCGACCCTGCGACCTAAAAAACATGAAATACGTGGGGGCGTGAGCACTAAAACACATGTGCTCCGTAGAAACTCATACTAATGTAAACATTAAAAATAATAACAATATCATGATTTTAGCATATATAACTGAACTGAAACTGAAACTGAAACTGAAACTGATATCTGATACCGGTCTGATCTCGCGACATAAGTCACGTAACTGATAACTGAACATTTGAACATGCTGGTTCGAAAGAACATTTACTTAGCAAATATACTACTCGTGAACGGCCCGTGGCGCGTGCTACGTGCACGGCCACGCCCTTCGGCCGACACGACACTTTAAACTTGAAAACTCTCCGAACACTTAATCTTACCTGAACATGATATTACTCAAAAAGACTAAACATACGAAGATAGTTCGTAGAATTCAACTTAGAACATGACATGATTCAGCACGGCTTCTCGCACGGCCTTAACAACAAAGGACACGCATGAACGCCTAAACTGAAAACCGAACTTAATAAACATAATAATCTCGGTCTACAACCGCCGGGAATTTACCTCCGATTAAGCTCGAGTGACAACACTCCTCGGATTCCCGTGCTCGGCCGTGACCCTCCGCTTGCGTGCGTGCGGTGTGCGTATTCTCGGATCGCCGTGCGTGTGTGCTGCTACGCATGCGGTAGTGATAACTAGCTTGTGGTAGCCTCCTCTCCAAATTACTCTAACTCTCTCTCACTCTGCTATGTATATACTAGGTGCTGAAGATGGAATTAATGTATGCAGAACTTAAGTATATGAATAACATATGGAAACTTAGCTATATATGAAGAAATTTGGGAAAAATTCCCAAACACTTCTCCTTAAATAGCCTCGGCGCCGAGAGAGGGAACAACATGGGATTTTTGGTGGCTAACTTCTCTTAATGACACTTGGAGCAAGCATAAATAATGCTTCAATGACTAAGCACTTATTAGCTTAAAATGATGCCACGTTTAACTTCTTAATAATGAAGAAAGTTTGAACAAATTCCACTAACATACTTCACTTAATACGTACGGCTTATTTTAAAATAAATAGAAAAATTCCGTACGGTTTTTTTTTTTTTTTTTACTAATCTTGTGATTAATTATTAATTAATCACTTAATTATGTTTAATTATTCAATTAAACATAATGCTTAATTACCAAAATTATTCCGAACGTAAACGGTACGTCGAAAATAATTTCCGGTAATTTCGACTGAACTGACTAAAAATAATTAATTCTGAAAACTAATATCGGAACTAAAAACATGATTTATACTGATAAACTGACGGGATATTACAATCCTCCCTCCTTACAAATTTCCGTCCTCGGAAATTCAAAACATAACTGATAATACATGAACTATGTACATGGAATAAGAAAATATGTACATCAAAACTGAAAATCTGGAAAACGAGCACAAATATCGGACTCCGCCTCCCAAGTAGCTCCGTGGCGATCCCACTGAATACGCATGAGGGGAACATCTCGCTTCTGGAGCTGACGAACCTGACGGTCTAGTACAGCTACCGGTCGCTCCTTGTACGAAAGATCTGGCTGAACCTGAATATCTGAATGGGGAATGACATGATCGGTGTCGCACACGTACTTACGCAACATCGATGCGTGAAATACATTATGAATGCCTGATAACTGTGAGGTAGGGCTAATCGATACGCGACCTCGCCCACTCACTCGAGAACCTCGAACGGACCGATGAATCGATGGTGCAGCTTTCCTCTCTTTCTGAATCGAACGACTCCGCGAATCGAACGAACTCTGAGAAAAGCTAGCTCGCCAACCTCGAACTGAATATCTCGTCGATGATGATCGGCTGAAGATTTCTGTCGATTCTGATTTGTCTTGAGTCTCTGCCGGATCAACTCGACCTGATCTGCTGTCTCCTCGATCAACTTGGGACCGAGTACTCGTCGCTCTCCAACATCATCCCAATAAAGAGGGGAACGACACTTGCGACCATAAAGTGCCTCGTAAGGAGCCATCTGAATAGAAGAATGGTAGCTGTTGTTATACGCGAACACGGCGTACGTCAACAACGACTCCCACTTAGCACCCCTGTCAACAACTAAAGCGCGAAGCATATCCTCAAGCATCTGAATAGTCCGCTCTGACTGACCGTCTGTCTCCGGATGATAGGCTGAACTAAACTCTAGCTTCGTGCCCATCGCCTCGTGTAAGCTGTGCCAGAATCTACTGACGAATCTGGGAACTCTGTCTGATACTATAGTGACGGGCACTCCGTGGAGTCGGATGATCCCACGGGTATATATCTCAGCCAACTTGTCCAGAGACATCTTCATCGAAATGGGTAAGAAATGCGCGACCTTAGTCAACCTGTCGACCACGACCCAGATAGCGTCGTGATGTTCAGACGACCTCGGTAATCCCGTAACGAAATCCATTGTGACTTCCTCCCACTTCCACCTCGGAATCGGCAGTGGCTGCAGGAGGCCGATCGGACTCTGCTGTTCGGCATTGACTTGCTGACAGGTAAGACACCTCCTGACAAACTCGGCGACGTCCTTCTTCATGCCTCGCCACCAGAACGACCCTTTCAGGTCATGATACATCTTCGTGCTCCCGGGATGGGCTAAATAGGGTGCTGTGTGAGCCTCTGATAAAATCTCCTTTCGCAACGCCTCGACTTTCGAGACCACGATCCTGCCTCTGAACTCTAGGGCACCATCGGCACCTAGCTGAAAACCCTCGACGCTTCCGGCGCGAACCTTGGCCTCCATGACACGAACGAACTCGTCAGAAGCCTGCTCTCGCTGGATTCTCTCTCTCAGCGTCGGCTGAAGCTGCATGGCACTAACACTGGCACTGCCACTCCCTGAAATGGCTGTGGGAAGTGCATCGATCGCCTAAAGCTGCATCCGGGCAAACTCCTGAATCAACGGACTCTGCTGAGTACTGACATACGTCAAGTCACCCCTCACCTTTCGGCTTAGGGCGTCAGCAACGACGTTCGCCTTCCCCGGATGATACTGAATAGAGCAGTCGTAATCCTTGACGAGCTCTAACCAACGACGCTGTCTCATGTTGAGCTCCTTCTGAGTAAAGATATACTGCAAGCTCTTATGATATGTGAAAATCTCACAATGACCGCCGTAAAGATAGTGTCGCCAAATCTTGAGAGCATGAACGACTGCGGCTAACTCCAAGTCGTGCGTCGGATAGTTCTGCTCATGCGGCTTAAGCTGACGTGAAGCATACGCAACGACCTGGCCATCCTGCATAAGGACGCATCCCAAGCCCTGTCTCGAAGCATCGCTGAAGATGGTGAAACTCCGAGAAGGATCGGGAATAGTCAACACCGGTGCTCATATTAATATCCTCTTGAGCTCCTGAAAGCTCGACTCACATCGGTCAGTCCACTCGAACCTCACAGACTTCCTCGTCAGCTGGGATAATGGGAGGGCGATCTTGGAAAAGCCCTCGATAAACCTGCGATAGTATCCAGCTAGACCGAGAAAACTGCGAACCTCGGACGGACTCCTCGGTGTCGACCAGTTCTGAACGGCTGAGACCTTGGAAGGATCCACCTCGATACCTGCCTGAGTAATCACATGACCCAGAAAAGATACTCGTTGGAGCCAGAACTCGCATTTGGAGAATTTTGCAAACAACTTTTCTCGTCTGAGGGTTTCGAGAACCACCCTCAGATGCTCCTCGTGCTCCTTCTGGCTCTTCGAGTAGATAAGAATATCATCAATAAAGACAATAACAAACTGATCGAGGTAGGGATGGAAAATACGATTCATGATGTCCATGAAAACTGCTGGCGCATTGCTGAGACCGAAAGGCATGACGACGAACTCGTAATGGCCGTAACGAGTCCTGAAAGCGGTCTTAGCGATATCTGACTCCTTAATCTTCAGCTGATGGTAGCCTGATCGTAAATCAATCTTTGAAAATACACATGCTCCCCTCAACTGATCAAATAAGTCGTTGATCCTGGGAAGCGGATACTTGTTCTTGATCGTCAACCGGTTAAGATCCCGGTAGTCGATACACATGCGCATGGATCCGTCCTTCTTCTTGACAAAGAGCACGGGTGCTCCCCAAGGTGACACGCTCGGTCGGATGAAACCGAGTCGTAACAGCTCCTGAATCTGAGTCTTAAGCTCCCGCAACTCCTTTGGCGCCATACGGTACGGGGCTTTGGATACTGGACCGGCTCCTGGAATAAGATCGATAGAGAACTCCACCTGCCGGTTAGGCGGTCCTCTTGGAAGCTCGTCTGGGAACACGTCCACAAACTCACGAACGACTGGAACATCGTGAGGTGATCGTGCTTTCTGAGATTCATCGACAAAGCTCACCAGATAACCCTGGCAGTTGCCTCGTCGCAGCAACTTAGTGGCTTTCGCCATCGAAACAACATGAGGCAATGAACGATTCCTGGAGCCGAAGAAAGTAATCGACTCGTCTCCTGGAAGATAAAGAGTAATCTCCCGGTCATGACATCTGATATCTGCATGATAAAAGGATAGCCAATCCATTCCGAGAATAAGGTCGAAGTCCCTCATCTCGAGAACAAACGCGTCGGTAGGCAATACACGGCCACCGATGAAAAGGCTAAGATCTGAAGCTTTAGCTGAAGTCACTATCTTTCGTCCCGAGGCCAATCTCACCTCAAGAGGATCGATAGCGATAGTAGCGCGAACTCCGATGGCATCAAGACATCGTCGTGAAATGAAAGAATGTGTCGCTCCAGTATCGAATAAAGCAAACATAGGAACATTATTAAGAACAACCATCCCTGACATGGTACCTGGCTGCTGTTCGGCCTCTGCCTGATCAACTGCATAAACTCGGGCCTGCTATCTGCCCCTCTGCTGCTGCTGCTGAGGCGGCCTTCGTGCCTGCTGACGGGGCTGCTGCTGCTGCGGTGGCTGCTGAGGCTGCTGCGCCTTCTTCGGACAACGGTTCGTGAAATGTCCGGGCTCGTGACAGTAGTAGCATACATCCTGACTAAAGCGACACTCGCCTCGGTGAAGTCGTCCGCATGTCGGGCACTGTGGGATCTTCTGTAGCCTCCGTCGGGTCCTCTTATCTGTCGGGGCACCTTTCCCCTTCCTCTTGTTATTCTTCGGTGGCTGAGCAGATGGTAGAGCTGGCATCGGTGGAACTGAAGATGACTGAGCAGGGGCGAATGGCTGGAACTGATCACGGACGGCCTCCCTCCTGATGCTGGCGTCCACCTCCGGGGCAATGGAAACTGCACGCGCGTACGTCTGTGTCCCGTGGCCTACGATGTTATGACGGACTGCTGGGTAAAGCCCGTCAATGAAACGCTGTGCTCGCTGGGCCTCCATCTGGAGCGAGTACCCTGCTGGAGCGACAGAAACTGGCGCTCCATCTCTGCTCGGTAGTATGTGGGGTAGTACTTCTCGCGGATTAACTCCTTGAGCATCTCCCACGTACATCTCGCCTTCTCTCCGGGACGCATGCTCCAGTAAGCGTTCCACCAGAGCCTGGCATCACCAGTGAGCTGAAGCTGAGCGCAAATTACACGATATCTATCAGGGCAATCCATGACCTCGAAGATAAACTCCAGGCCCTGAATCCATTCATCTACGATGCGAGTATCTCCCTGCCCTGAGAACTTCTCGGCATGATAGTCGCGGAACTGGGCGACTACTGTGGCTTGAGTAGGAGCCGGATGATCGGGTTCCCTACGGGGCGGCATCTGAACATTGGAAAAGTTCCAAATTATTGAACACGTGATAATATTCTGACTGATTACTTAGGCACACAGACCTCTTGACGAGTTGCCAAAAATGGCCGATAAATACTGACGTGAATCCTGAGGAACTCTAGAGTCATATCAAAAGATACTAAAGTCTAGAGTCATGTCTGAGTATACTGATCTCTAAAGTCATGCCTGAATATACTGAATTCTAGAGTTATATTTGAACTCTAAAGTCTGAATCTGATTCGAGCATCTTAACTAAGTCTGATTACTGTTTTTTTAGCATAGACAAAGTAATATGTTTATAACTGAAAACTGAATCGGCACTTACCTGGAGTCGGCGAGGCGTGAGCGTGACGGTTCATGTTTTTCTGAAAATTACTGACTGAAAAAAAACTTTTCAGAGACGCAGAAACGTGCTCTGATACCAACTGTAACACCCCGACTTTTTAATACTACGCGACTTTTGCAATTTTCTGAATAAATAAATAAAATATTTATTTTGCGAAAACTGATTCGGGATGCTATCGTGAAAAACTTGATTTTTCTAAAAACCGTTAAAATTTTAAACTGATAAATAAAAACGGTTATAATGTCTTATCCGACTAATGTCGGAACAAAAACTGAAAATAAGTACTGTAAGTTTTAGCGGAAACAACTGCGTGGCAAAAAATATATACATAAATCACAAATATCCTGAACTGCCCGCCAGCTCACTCCTCATCCCCGACCCTGCGACCTGAAAAACATGAAATACGTGGGGGCGTGAGCACTAAAACACTTGTGCTCCACAGAAACTCATACTAATGTAAACATTGAAAATAATAACAATATCATGATTTTAGCATATATAACTGAACTGAAACTGAAACTGAAACTGATATCTGATACCGGTCTGATCTCGTGACATAAGTCACGTAACTGATAACTGAACATCTGAACATGCTAGTTCGAAAGAACATTTACTTAGCAAATATACTACTCGTGAACGGCCCGTGGCGCGTGCTACGTGCACGGCCACGCCCTTCGGCCGACACGACACTTTAAACATGAAATCTCTCCGAACACTTAATCTTACCTGAACATGATATTACTCAAAAAGACTAAACATACGAAGATAGTTCGGAGAATTCAACTTAGAACATTACATGATTCGACACGGCTTCTCGCAGGGCCTTAACAACAAAGGACACGCATGAACGCCTAAACTGAAAACCGAACTTAATAAACATAATAATCTCGGTCTACAACCGCCGGGAATTTACCTCTGATTAAGCTCGAGTGACAACACTCCTCAGATTTTCGTGCTCGGCCGTGACCCTCGGCTTGCGTGTGTGCGGCGTGCGTGTTCTCGGATCGCCGTGCGCGTGTGCTGCTACGCGTGCGGTAGTGATAACTAGCTTGTGGTAGCCTCCTCTCCAAATTACTCTAACTCTCTCTCACTCTGCTATGTATATACTAGGTGCTGAAGATGGAATTAATGTATGCAGAACTTAAGTATATGAATAACATATGGAAACTTAGCTATATATGAAGAAATTTGGGAAAAATTCCCAAACACTTCTCCTTAAATAGCCTCGGCGCCGAGAGAGGGAACAACATGGGATTTTTGGTGGCTAACTCCTTTAATGACACTTGCAGCAAGCATAAATAATGCTTAAATGACTAAGCACTTATTAGCTTAAAATGATGCCACGTTTAACTTCTTAATAATGAAGAAAGTTTGGACAAATTCCACTAACATACTTCACTTAATACGTACGACTTATTTGAAAATAAATAGAGAAATTCCGAACGGTATTTTTTTTACTAATCTTGTGATTAATTATTAATTAATCACTTAATTATATTTAATTATTCAATTAAACATAATGCTTAATTACCAAAATTATTCCGAACGTAAACGGTACGTCGAAAATAATTTCCGGTAATTTCGACTGAACTGACTGAAAATAATTAATTCTGAAAACTAATATCGGAACTAAAAACATGATTTATACTGATAAACTGACGGGATATTACACGATGGGTAGTCTCTTTTATTATTGTTGGCAGTCAGGGCGTGAGCCTTGGCTGGTGATCCCCGTGCAAGGCCAAGGGCCATCGGGGTGTATTTACTCCTACTGGCTGGGCACTCGATGTAAGACAAGGGCCATTCGATATATAGCCGTCAGTAGTCTATTGATATAGGTGTGTACATGAGTTTGATTATTGATTATTGATTGGAGATGAGATAGATTAATGCTTTATATACATACTGAGACCGTACTTTTGATTATCGATACTGATTATTATTGAGGTCAATATTTATTGCATAGCAGTGAGCACTATTGTTTTCTATTGTGCTCATCCTCACCTGCTCTTCACGGATGCATGTTAGTTTATGCGGCATGGTGGAAAGGATACGAGTGGTGGTCTTTAAATTGTTTAATGCTTCCGTCTTGAACACTGAACTTGGATATTATTGCATTATTATTGATTATTGTTTTTCTAGTATTGGAGTATTGGATTATTGATAGGGATTATTTCCCTTGGATTATTATTGGATTATGATTGATTATTGGGATTTTCAAATTGATGATGAGTATTGATAATTGCCGAGTATTGAGAAATTGATGAGTATTGATTATTGTTTTGAAAAAGAGTAGTGCCTCAAGTATTGTTTTGAAGTAAATTCGAAAAAATTATTTTGATTTTTGGTAAATAAAAGTGTGGCGTTACAGTTTGGTATCAGAGCCAGTCTGCGTTTCTGTAGACTGGTTAATGTGAATTATTCGATTATGTGATTTGACCTTAAGTTATGACCACTCGCTCTCGTCGTGCCGCGCCAGCTCAGGTATGTGTACCTAATTGATTTATAGATGATTGTGCAATAATTGATTATTGATATGAAATCGGGGCTTAGGAATTTATCCTCCAGCTTTTAAACATACCTAAACTCTAGCGGTATAGAGTTAAGTTCGGACTTGAGAATTTGTTTGTTTGGAAATTCGATATAAATTTCTCGAGTTAAATTTTGTTTATGGCTGTGCTTTTGCATAAGACTTGCTGTCCTCAAGAGTAAACCATTCGCAATGCCATCTCGAAAGGAGAAGGCTTAAATGAAGGAAGCAGATGATCGAATGATTCCCAGTTATTTGGGTATTCGGGAGTCTGTAACCGTTGTCGATAGGACCATTAGATGCGTGATTAGAATCCAGTCAGAGGTGGCGATGATCTATTCTTTGGCAAAAATTCTCTTCAGTATATTAAGCCGCGAGCGATTTTCTAGCAGCAGCAGGATTTACCGGGAATAGCTTGAACCGATGAAAGAGGCGGTTAATCGTGGACTCCTGGGTGCGAGGCAAATTTGTTCCTTTTAATTATTGTCTTCTTGTAGACTTTTGCAAACCCTTGTTGTTTTGTATGACAAGCAATTTTAAATTGTGCTTGAAACTTCTTTCGTTAGTCAATTTTCGTATTTTGATAATTTCGCTTAATCTTCCCCTTCCTGGCGTTGAACTTCAGATGGAGTCATTTGATGCATATTGAAGTGTTTCTTTCCACCTTAAAAGATTATGCAGAAATCTTTAAGGAGGATAGATGAGTCCGGAGCCAGCACATCGTGAGGTGCAGAACATTCTTAGTTTTGAATTTTGTTCATCATAGACTCTAGAAGATCCCGTCCTTTTTCTTCTTTCGGAGTTTTGGAGGTGTTGACGTGACGACAGACGCTGACAGTCAGAATAATCGAGGCGAGCCAGTTATTGTATCTCTCGGCAGGAGCTGCAGCTTATCGGAAGCAACTGATCAACGACTTCCTCCGCTCGACCGTGCTCTTCAAGGAAGCCGCGGAGATGGGACTTGACTTATATTCCTATAGCATGCAGGAAGTGGAGCGGCAGTTAAAGGAACAAGGCTTCACGGGCGAAATCGACCAGGACAAAACCTGGGAAGCCATTCCTGCTGTGCCGTCCAACTTTACCGATGACCCTGAGCTGCCCGCCAGCCACCCTTGGTGGTCGGAGTCGCTGGCACGGGCCATAGCCAGTGACAAATCCCTGCAGAGCTACTTTGATTTGCCTGTCCCCATCCGAATAAACGTTGTTGTGCCTCCCAAGCCTGGGGATTCATCTAATGCCCCTTTGACTATCTCCAGTTTTTCTGTCGCCCACCCCTCTACTGTCGCAGCCGCTCTTACGTCGACCATGGCGGTATAGTCAAGTACGTCCGTCTTATCTCCAGCGACTGCAACCGCCATGTCCTCATCGACTATAGCAGCGTCTTCAGTCACCGCTGCTGTTACGTCGACCGTCGCTGCTGTTGCGTCATCAGTCGCTACCATTGTCTCGTCAATCGCCGCTATTGTTAAGTCGGCGACTGTCGTTGCGCAATCGGCCACTGTTCTTGCTTTGTTCTCGACTGCGACTGAACAGTCGACCATTGTTGCTACTTCATCAATTTCTACGCCTTCCAAATAATGAATTTTTAGTTTGGCTTTTAACTTTTTATTTTGGTGATGTATTTTTATGCTCAGACATTGCGCTCTCTATGGACTTGTACTTCTGGGTAAGCTGATTTTCTTTTCCTTGCGATGTGTGATGCTTTATTCTGTAACTTCCCCTATGTATTGCTCTGTTCGTCCATAGGTCGAAAAGTCTTTAATATACGTGAGCCTTCTTTTCCTTGTGGATTGAGCAATTGAAATACATTCGAGTGAATTAAACTGCATACACCTAATGTGCTCGTCTCCCTTCTTAAATTGAAAATAGTCTAGTGGACAGTATAATTTGCCATGAGATC